CGCCGCTCCCGCATTCAGCGCCCGGGCCGCCGCGCTCACCCGTGAGTGGGGAAACCTCGCGCGGGGACGCGTGGGACGAGCCCTGGAAGCGCAGAGGCTGGCAGTCTCCGCGGTCCGTCGGCGCGACTCCAAAGTCCGAGGAGCCTTCGGTGTTCTGGCTGGGGGGGTTGGGGTGGGGTGCGGGGCTGGAGCGCGAGCGATCGGGTGGGGAGAGGGATCCCCCGCCCTCAGTGCCCTGCTTGCCCTGAGCGCCGGGCCTCCGACTTCCGCGACCGGTCCGGGCTCGGAGCCGAGTGGGCAGGGTTTGCCTCCCTCCCTCCCGCCGTCCCCCCCTCCCCGCCTCCAGGTCTCCTCCTCCGCCCCCAGCGGAGTCTCTGCGCCCTCTTTGCCCAGGGAGGCGGGGTGGGCGGCTCCTGAGAATCTGGGCTTCTGGCTTTTGCGCTATCTTTCCCCCGCTCCGACTCAGGGGATGCAGAGAAGTTTGACCCCACAAAGCTCTGACTTGCATCCCGTCCTTCCCACTTCTCGGGCATTAAGCGAGTGCCTCCTCCTCTGTCTGGCACAGGCGGGCGGGTGGGGCAGCCCCAGGGAGTGAGACCCCCCTTTCCCTCTCCCCTTAACAAGTTGTGCTAGGGGTGAAGGTGGGCCTTTTCAGCCCACTCTCTGATCTGGGCGAGGGCTGCGCCTGCAGAGTAAGTGGAAATATCCCAGGCTGGGCCCTTGAGACCCCCGTCCCGTTAGGCCCACGTGTGCCACCACCCTTGTGGGTTCGGTGAGATCAGCCAGCCCTCGGCCCTGTTCTGTGCTGAGGGCGGCGTGGAGGGGAATCTTCTCCAGCCCTCCAGCCCTGCCCCCAACTCAGGGCCCTGCGGGTTCTGGTTCCTGCACCTGGCTGACGCCTCCCACAAGCACCCCTGGGCGCAGGAACCTGGTTGGAGCAGTGATTCAGTCTTTTGCTGACCCCTCCCTGCCCTAGCCCCTGGGCACCCCTACTAGGCTCTCCTACGGGGTCCCCTAGACACCCTCAGCTGTTCCTTCCTCTCCAAGCTACTGCTCCTAAATAGGATGCTAGAGGTTGCGGGAACCAAAGTGGATTTTATGGCCTGGATTGGAGGCGGGGGACAGCGTCTCCAGGTGCGAGCACTGTCGTGGGGGCTGAGCTGTTTATAGGTTTGTTTTATTCCGGCTATTCCCCCCCCCCCC